CCTCCCCTTCACGGGGGAGGCCACCTCATAGTTTCAGGTAGAACTTGAAGGTTGCTACTATCAGCCGCTGTTTCGGGAAGTTTCTGAGAAGAAGACTTGGTTCGTGCTTCTTCCGTTCTTGTTTTGAAAACAATATGAATAATGCTCATGGATATTATTTTCTGAATATACATTTCGGGGGTTTGTATACCCATGTTTGCCAAGTGTGGCTTGAACACTTGAAATGTTGTTTCCGCTGTTTTAAATGAATGATTTACATTATGTTTGTTTATGGATGTACTATGTGTGAATGATGTTCATGACGCCTTGTATAGTATGGATGAGTTGGACTGCGGTTGACTATTCGTACTGTACGGCGGGTTGTTGACGTGTCCGGCTAGGTCCGGGGCGTGACAGGGAGGGTCACTCATCGGTGCGTACTTAAGTTTGATACCTTGTAAACTAGCATTATTTTCTTCGCAAAAAAATGAAATGCTAGTTAGGATTAAAACCCCAAAAATGGGCAATCTAAGCAAAAAAGACTTACAAAAAAATGATGAGTGAGTGGAGAGGTGGAAAAGTAAAAGAGATGTTAGGATGAAAACCTGAAAAGGTTCCTAGGCAAAATGAGAGATATGAGAGAGATATTTTTTTTTTTACAGGACATCGTTTAATCTCTTGAAGATGAAAAGAGGAGATGAGCATAGAAGGCCATGAAACCCAAGAAGATATTATTCTTTGAGCTAAACACTCAATGTAAAACCCATATGTTATCCTTGGTGGTCTTTTGCTTTTTCTGATTGATTGTTGAACTTTTGAGGACTTGGAACTGTTAAACATTTGACTTTACTCGAGGACGAGTAAAGAAACTAAGTGTGGAGGAGTTGATATTCATGTAATTTCCGATTGTATGTTTGTATTTTTAACTAGTTTTTATTAGTTCTAGTTGAGGAAATTACACACTTTTGGTGTAATACTTTATTTTCATTTTTATTTGTAATTTGTTTAGATTAGGACTTTTCTGAGCTAAATAGGTCAAAGATCATCCAAGGGATCAAGATTGGACCTTAAAAGATCAAGGAAAGTGCAAGGAGGCAAGAAAGATTTCGATTTGGAAAAAATGCTCATGTACCCGGTCGGGTATTGCCTATACCCAATCGGGTATTTGCTTGATTCGATTGTCCAAATCAAATCCGGGAACAAATGATCGTGGGAGCAAGATTTCGTTAAGATTTGTCACATACCCGATCGGGTATGCCGACATACCCGGTCGGGTATGCCCAGAAAAGTGACTTTCTGGGAAATTTCCTAAGATACCCGGTCGGGTATCCTATATACCCGGTCGGGTATCAGCCCCTGCAGCTCCCAAAAGCATATAAATACACCCCTTTCCTTCACAATAAAATCACCAATTAACATATACTTCTTACCTCAATTTAGACAAGCTCTTTCTTTATATGTTCTTCATGTTTAGTCTCTAAATGAGGAGCTAAACTCTTCCATCTTGGTTTTGCTACTTTTATTTGAAGCTTAATGAATTTGTAAGTTGTGAGTTATTCTCTTTAACTTTCTTCCTTGAATATTAATTTTTCCCTTAATACTATATCTCTATATTAATGTTGGGGAGTGTTACTAAGATGACAATTAGTTAATATCTCGACATTAGTTAGAGTTGTATTTATTTCTTCTTATATGTTAATATTGGGGAGTGTTACTAAGATGACAATTAGTTAACATCTTGATATTAACTGTAGTAGGATTCATACTCTTTAATATCCTTCCTTGAATATTAATTAATTCCTATGCATATTTCATATTAATATTTTGAGCATTACTTAAAGGATCAACTAGTTTTGTTTCATATATTAATTATTACTAGTATAAATCGATTAATACGCTTGTTATTAATCTAAGGGGAATTAATTATATTGATTAAGCCGATAAACCGCTTGTGTTGAGGTTATCAATCTCAATCGTTTTCATCTCAAGTTTATTGCTACTATCGTGTTAATATACGGCGCGTGTTCTATATTGACTCGGTAGTAAGTTTTATTAATGAACGCGTCTCGTTATTAATAATTACCCTCGATGAACTGATATACTCCTCGATTGAGTATTCGAGAGGAAGATAGTTAAAGATATAACCGGGATCGACAAACATTTCATTAAGTGGATAAAAGCAAAACCAAGTCCTCATCTCTATAAATTAAACTTATATAAGTCGTTTATCTTAGTGTTAATTAAATTCAATCAAATCAAACTTAAAACCCCCCTTGTTACTATTTATATAAAAGAAAAGTATTCCTTTCCCTGTGGATACGAACCTTACTTCACTATACTACCTATTAGTGTTGTATTGATAAATTATTTTGAGTGCACCTCACGACAAGTGCACGTCATTTATCCAAAAATTATTTTCTAATATTATACACTAATAAATAAAACGTGGTCAAAATACACTAATATATATGTTAGAATGGAGGTAAGTAGTAGATTCCTGTTCTCATGAAATTTTTCAATAACTTTGTGTATTATCACAATTTAATATTACTGTTTAAATTTCATTATTGATTTAGTAAGTGACTAAGTTTATCACCAATTATACTCCACTTTAGTTGATGGCTTTACCGACCCTATGTGTAGCGGAAAACTGAGAAGCATAGACCAAAAAGTGCTAACTATATAGATTGAGTAAGAAATTTTACAGAGTAATAGTAATCTTGTGCCCAAGAATGACGATCTTTTTACACAAGTTGGAATGCATTGAGCGGGAGTGTTGTGCAGTGAACTGAATCCGATACAATAGATAGATAGTGTAGTAATGTAGAGCACCCAAATGCAGTAATGTGGAGCAATAATGTTAGCATAGTGTGCAATATATACAATATATTCATAGTAGGCAAATTTGTAATTTTACTCCTATAACTTTATTTTGTGCTCGTGATAGTTGTGTAACTTCACAAGCTTGCAAATTTGGTCCCACAACTAATACATATTTGCAATTTAAGAACTATTGCCGTAAAATACACTCTTCGATAGACAATTTGTCAGAAAATATGTCGCCAATGTCAATTTTTTTTACCAGAAAGTGTACTTTTCATTAAAAATGTCCTAAGTTGCAAAGATTTATTAGTTACAGGTTCTAATCCGAAAGGAAGTAAAGTTATGAGGCTAATTAATAACATGTACAATCAAAAGTTACGGGACTAAAATCTAAAAGTAAAAAGAACTATAAATTCCTAACATTTTCGTAATGTCATTAGTAATGCAGTTAGGGATGGCAACGGGTCGGTTCGGGGTCGGGTATACCATTACCCGTACCCGCCCCGTTTGATAATATTTTTCCCCGAAACCGCCCCGTTACCCGTTGGGTATTTTTTACCCGCGGGTAACGGTTTTCCCCGCGGGTAACGGTTTCCACGCGGGTAACCGTTTTATTAAAAGGTATTTTTTTTCTTCAAAATTAGTATACATCCTAAAATGATGATTAACTACTTATAATTGATCACCTAAATTAAAAAAAAATCAAAATTAAGTAGCACCACTTGTTTTATTAAAAGATAATTTTTTTTCTTCAAAATTAGTATGATGATTAACTACTTATAATTGACCACCTAAATTAAAAAAACCAAAATTAAATAGCACCACAGATAAAGTTTTTTAAAACATCACAAAAAATTACAATCTTTTGAATCTAATATTCACAAATTTTATATGTCTAGATTCAAAATTATGAATCTCTTACCACATCAACATCAAGAGATTAAGTCTTGTCTCGATAGTAAAATCTAAATATGAACCACAAAAACATTTAACTTCCAAAAATTCAATAATCATACCCCATCAACATTCAATATCTATATTTAATAGCACTAATGTATACAAGTAACATAATGAAAATGAGAAGTTTTTTTCCTGAAATATTACTAATTAAAAATATATGGACATAAATGTGACTATAAGTTATCATGGGTAATATTTATAGTCAATACGATATAACACTTTAATAAAATTATAAACACTAAAGTTACTAGAGTCACATTTTTGTCCACGACTTTTATTTTGATTATAGATTTGGAATTATTTCTAAAAAATGTACTTCTAATACTATGATTTAGGTATTCTTGTAGTTAATGTTTTAGAAATCTCATAATTTAAATTTAAAACCTGATATAAATTAGAGCAACCAATAAAAATTAATCTAATCATCCAATACACCTCTACAAAATTATTAGCAATTACATAAATTAAAGCAATCTAGAGTAATGTTTCCCAATATTTTGACATTAAACTCATATGTGAGCTTTATGAAAGTTATTGGGTGAAAAAAATAAGAGAGTCACAATGTGAAAATTGTGTACAGAAAATCATGAAAATCAAATAATCAATATGTGAAGAAAATAAATCTTGTAGAAGTTAACAAAGGAAGGATGATGAATGAAATTGAAAATTAAAAATCTAAAATAGTGAATTTTGAGCACCAACTCATCAGAATTGTAAAGAATAGCCGATTAGTTGAATATTTTTCAAAAAAAATAGAGGGAATAATTGTCATATACTAATGTACTACTATTCATATATACTTAATATATTAAATAATAAATACATAAACTATTAAAATATGTAAGTTAATTGTGCGGGTCGGGTAATGATGCGGGTAACTGTATCCAAATTAAACGGAGCGGGTAACGGGGCGGGTAGGTATAAACCCATAACCGCCCCATTACTCGTTTACATAAATCGGGTATTCCCCGCCCCGTACCCGTTACCCGGTCAAAGCGGTTTTCCCCATTTTGACCGGTTCTGTTCGGTGCGGGTATCCATCAGGTTGGATTAAATTGCCATCCCTAACTGCACTAACATCGGGCAATAACACCAGTATAAAGTGCCATATATTTAATTAGACGTACCTAACTAAAGTTATCATATCTAAAACGAATAAAAGAATTATAAATTACTCAACATGAAATACAAAAATGTCTTGCGTGACACGAAGATGGTCATCGTTTAATAAGGGCATTTTCGTTTTTAAACAAGATTTTTTTTAGTGATATGAATATTTAAAACACATAATGAGGGAAACAGTCTTACTCAAACCGCAAATTTGCCAAAGAAACACAAAGAAAAAGTGAATATCAGGTGTGAATGTTCTGCGGTAACAGCAAGGAGTGGACTAATGAAATCTCAGGACTGATCGCACTGTGTTGGTTTGAAGGAGAGATTATTGGCTACAAGATCAAAAGTCACATTCATATTCTTCTGTTGACTATTCCCAAATATGGCCGTCGAGAGGCCCGTTCCTTCGGTGCTTAACATGGCCAAACACGCCAGATTGGAGTTCTCCACAGTCACGACCTGCATATAGTTCTCTGTGGGGATAACCAAATCCCCCCCGTCGAAATGAAAGGTCAGCTGCGGAAAGGCGACGTTTGTATTGCCGCCGCCCGGCAGAAGGAAGCACAAATCCAGACCCGCTGCAGCCGGCGCCACCTGCAGTCCAACCACCAGCAGCTGCGCAATCAGCTCACTCCTGAGCGCCGTGTACACCGTGGGAATCAGGCGCGTGAAGGAGGTGCCGGAGTCGATTACCATCCCCCGGCTTCCGTCCAGGTTTAACTCGAACTCCGACTCCTGCCCCGCAAAGAGAGCAGTCTTGCCGACGGTTATCCCCTTGAGTAAAACAAGGTACCATGCTGACAAAGTGTCTAACAAAGGGGTAGTTGTAATGGCGGCTGCCGCGGTAACGCCGGCCGGAGAGCCAACTCCGAGCGCGCTTCCTGAGGCGCTCTCGCGGCCGGTTGTGCAATACCAAAATGTTTCCAAATTAAGCTGGGAAACAAGAGACAGCGGCCCGCGGCCGAGACCAACTATACCGGAGGCCTGGTCCGCCGGGGGCTTGGTTGACCCATCTTTATTGAAGAGTTGACCGCACCCGAAATAAACGTTTTTGAACGAAGCGCCGTTGCCGAATGTGAACTTTTCTTTGGCCATCAAGCCTTGGCTCGACGATCCGTCCCCGTATCCGCGGTTGTACCGGCAGTATGAACCGCCGCCGTTACACGACAGAAACGCCGCATCCTTCGACTGGCAGATATTGTCGGAGCAGGGAACTGGGGAGAAAGAAGACGATGTATCGTGGCTGTAAATCGCACTGCTCCCACTCGTGGGCGAACACTGCGTCCACATCATGTCACTGCCGACGTCCAAGACATATTTCAACGGCACCGGCGGGCTTCCGATGCTTAGCTCGATCAATACCTCGCCGTCGATGGGTACAACCCTTGACCGCACTTCAATTCCCGCGGCGAGCCGCCTCTTAGCAGATGGCCGCAGCTCACGGTTCATGCGTAGCAGGCGTTCCAGTCTCGTTATGTTTCCGCCGGAGTCAACGCGCCGCTAAGTCGCCGTAAACCCCCATCCGCTTATGGACGTTGTATTCACCGGCGCGGTCGAACACACTCTTATTACCGATGAAATGGCCACCGACAGCATTATCAGCCGGAGCCAAAACGCCATTATATGTTTCTTGCTTTCTCTGTCAATATAATTCGTCCAAAATGCCATTATACTAGTACCACGGAGTACTGGTGTGGTTTTGAGAGGAATGTTTTTGTGGGAATTTTGTTGAGGTTTTTTGTTTTGGTGGTTAGTAGCTTTAAAGATTGTAAGGCATAGATGGTCCCACTATATAAATGAATTTCCACTAACCTATTTGACCTATGAGTGCATACATTTATAGGTCATCATTCATCATTCTCCGGTCAACTTACATTGTTTTCACTCTTTTATTTTATATATCCAACTTTTATCAAATTTATTTTATTTGATCATGTATTATAGAATTTTTAATATAATTTCAGAATAACATGGAATGGAGGGAGTATAACATACTAGTATTACATACTCTATTACGTAAAACAAACAATCCTAATAATTACACAAATACGACTCAAACCTAAATTATTCACAAATAGACCCAAAATGTTTTTTATGATTAATATCCCTAATCTAATTAAGTGTCCCTAATTCCCTTGCACAATCTGGGCAGCCACTAATGACGGGACAACTTGTCGGTGGGGGGACAGTACATTATTATCTGTCCAAGCCAAAACACCATTATATTTTTTTCTTTCTCTGTCAATCTAATTGATCCAAAACGTCATTATATTAGTAATGCGGAGTAAAACATACTCCATCCGTCCCGAAAAGGTTTGTCAAATTGACTTTTCTTGGTCAATAACAATGAACTTTGACTAATAATATTTTTAATACAAAATTATTTAGAGTATAAAAATATTCTCATAAAAGCATAAAATTTATAAATTCTATACAAATAAAATAATTAAAATCTTTGTCCAATGTTCGTGATCACTGACCAAGAAAAGTCAATATTACGAACATTTTGGAGACAGAGGTAGTATTACGTACTCTGTTACGTAAAACAAAGTAACTATCCTAATAATTGCACAAAGTTCTAAAACCTAAATTATTCACAAAGAGGACTAAACATTAATTTATTGCCCCATAATTTCCTTGGACAATCCAGACATTCCATTGGTAGCGGCATAGTCTGTTGGTGGTAGGGGAGTAAATCATTATCAATCCATGCCAAAACCCCATTATATACGATAGTATTTTTTTCTTTCTTTGTCAATCTAATGGGTCCTAAACTCCGCCGCCCGTTTATATATTTGGCGGATTTAACATTTAACAGTTAACTGATAACAAATTATGTTATCAGGTTGTAGATAGAGGATTCAGTCAGCGGGTTTGATAATTTAATTGTGTGGCCATAACAATGAGTACAAAACGCCATATTTCAAAACACTAAGGGTCTGTTTACTAAAAGAGATATTTTCCAGTTTTCTAGAAATTTGGAAAAACTAGAAAACAGAAAACAGGAAACGTGTTTACCAAAGAAAATTGCTGGAAAACTGGAGAAAGAAAAACACAAAAACGCGTTTACCAAACCGTTTTCCAAAACGAAAAAATGAGACATGTCTCCCTTTTCTTTAACGATTTGGAGAAGTGACTTTTACTAGTTTTCCAAATTTGGAAAACACAGATGCTAGAGGCCGCTGCAATGAATTTGCATACTTACACCTAGTGGTGGGTCCGATCCCGCTCCGATGTCGATTCCATTCTAGTGCCTCCATGCTCGTACCCTACCCCTTACCCCTACCCTATCCTACCCACCAAACCCCCACCCCGCATACCCATTTTCCATACAATGACCCTACCCCCACCCCTACCACATGGCCCTACCTCGCTCCCACCCCGATCCACCCTACCCTACCACCCCTATCACCTTAACCCCACCCCTAACCACCCTACCCTACCCCACCCCACCTCGTATATAACCCCATGCCCCCTACCTCGGCCCCACCCTACCGCCATCCTACCCACACTCTCGTACCGCCATCCTACCCCCACCACCATCCTACCCCCACCCTACCCCTTCACCTACCTTGGCCCCACCTTACCGCCATCCTATCCCAACTCCCTACCCTACCCCTACCTTACCCCTCACCACCACCCTAACACACCCACTACCCCATCCAAAACTGTACCCCTTGACCTTACCACCCCACCCCCGACCATACCCCTTACCCCACCCCCACCCACCACACCCATACCTTCCTTACCTACTCCGACCCCTACGAGTAGGTATGGATGGATATGAAGGGTTTTAGGGTTTTAGAGTGTAAGATCGTGGTAAGGGTAGGGGTAGGGGTCAAGGGTGTGGAATTGGGTGTAGGGTGGGGGTACGAGGTATATGGGCAGGGTAGGGGTTAGGGAGTATGGGTACACGTACGAGATGATCGACCCCACATATTATAATATAGGGTTATTTTGGACATTTTAATGTTAAACGGTGTTTTAAACCTTTTTAAAGTAAACATGATCTTATAACATTGCTTATTTTATGCGTCACTTATTAACACGAGTCTTAATAAGCAGCATTTAGTAACCCGTGAAGTAAACGTGTGAGTCTTCTGGATGATCACAGAACTGGGTGAAAAAATTGATGAACATGTTTTCGGATTTGAAAATGGAAAACTAGAAAATAGAATCAGAAAACTAGAGATAGAAAAATAGAAAAATAAAAACAGAAAATTGGAGAATGAAAAACAGAGGTAGAAAACAGGAAAATATCTCTATTAGTAAACAAGCTCTAATTGATTATAGCATTCATTTCAGCGGTTCATCAAAAAACGATATGATCTGAGAACTATTTACCAAACAACGTTTTCACTTATTAGAAACGTTGAATGGGGTCAAACCACCATGTTTTAGGTGAAACACCATTTTCCAAACATCTCCATAAAGGTATAAACTTCCATTTCTTTTTGAAGAAATTAACTAAAAAATACATAAAGTTTAGGACATTTTGATCGTATTAAAATATAAAACATTCACATTTAGGAATAGGTAAGCTCTATTTTAAGAAAAAATAATGATAATCATATATGCATATTTTGAGTATGTTTTAGTTCTATATATTTTTTTTGAGAAAATAATATAAATTTCTAAACTTTGAAAGGATGTGAGTAAATATCCCAAACTTGCATATGTAATATATGCATTCAGAACTTTATATAAAAAGTTATTTTCACACCATGATTGCATTTTTTCTTTCATAAATATTAATTTATGGTGTCAAGTATATAATTTAAAATATACTCCCTCCATCCCAATTTGATGATACCATTGCGGTTTACGATGTTTGACTGACGATAAAGCAAACGAATCCCTGTCCGCACTCAAATTATTTTTAGATTTTTTTTTACATATTCAGAAACTACATTAAAATCTTTACAAAACAGCAAACACCTGAATCAAGTTTGATAAAAATTTGATATATAAAGTAAAAGATTAAGAATGATTTGTGTTGACCATGTGAATTAGAAGTGATACCATCAAATTGGAAAAAAGTAGTACAATTTATTTATGAGGATACAATTAACATTAGATTGGACTGAATGTAACATTATTTATTTCACAAATGAAACTTTAAAATGTGAATTGCATCTTAACAAAAGTTTAGAGTATTTTAAATTGTGTTTTATCACAAAAATTATATAAAGTTCAAAATATGTATATTACAAGTTTGAGATATTTATCTTACATTTTCCCTTCAAAGGTTGTGGTATTTATATCATTTTCCCCTAAATTTTTTAACTTCCTTTTAGTGCAACCCTCAATATAATTAATTCCTGTTTTGGTAAAAAAATTAGATTTTAGTTTACAACGAAACAAATCTAACAATATTTTTTTAAAAATATGAGTAATACATTGTAATCAAAGTAGAAAATATAATATTAAAATGAGATGGATGCACATTTACAATTAGATCTAGACTAGGTGTCCTAAAACGGAAATGACGGACCTGTTACTCACAAATTAAAATTAACGTAGTATCAATATATAGGAGGATTCTATGGTACCTCCGGTACTGTAATTGACACCCAATAGGTGTGTCTTCTAGTCAAATCATTTTAATTCCTATAGGTGTCAATATGTCATAAATAAACTCCCTTCATCCCTTAGAACAATTGTATAAAAGTAAAATTATTTTTCAATTAAAATTATTTTAATAAATCATTTTCAATTTCTGTGATCAATCATGTTCAACTTTGACCAATTATATAATTTTATAGGAATATATTTCTAATACTCCTGGGGTTGCTGTCAATGTTTTGTTGGCAGATCTGGATAAGATCTTTCCCTTGTTAGGGAACTAGTCTTGTCCCTCAACTCATCCAAGCTTTGCAGTTGTTGAGTCAACTTTGTCGATCGCTCAACTGGGTTTCCCTACGCTCCAACTCCAGTGCACAACTCGACCTACATACTGTATAGCAGGTATACCCTTAGCTGGGTAACCAGTTGGGGGGGGGGGGGTACCCTTCTACACTGCTCAGGCGCATACTATGATGGCACTTCAACATGCCATCGCTGCTCTGTCTCCACCACCTATGCTCCCATGGCAACTCATGGTTGAGAGGCTCTATGGGTGAGACAACAATAAGAACGTCTATGCATTCACCATGAACACACATTCCCCTCCGACCTACCGCCAGGCTTCTCCCACCTAGCAAGCCCAAGTCTGCAACACACCCGGTAATAGGCTAATTGACGTGCACTCGTCGTTAGGTGCACTCAAAATAAATAATCAATACAACACTAATACGTAGTATAGTGTAGTAAGGTTCGTATCCACAGGGAAAGGAATACTTTTCTTTTATATAAATAGTAACAAGGGGGGTTTAGATTTGCTTGGTTTAATAACACTAAGATAAACGACCTATGTGAGTTTAATTCAATGAGATGGGGACTTGGTTTTGCTTTTATCCACTTAATGAAATGTTCGTCGATCCCGGTTATATCTTTAACTATCTTCCTCTCGAATACTCAATCGAGGAGTATATCCAGTTCATCGAGGGTAGTTATTAATAACGAGATGCGTTCATTAATAAAACTTACTATCGAGTCAATATAGAACAAGCGCCGTATATTAACTTGATAGTAGCAATAAACTTAAGATGAAAACGATTGAGATTGATAACCTCAACACAAGCGGTTTATTAGTTTAATCAATATAATTAATTC